CGTTCTCGCCGAGCGTCCTCTCTGTGATAAGGAGCTATCGTAGTGGAACTTTGCACAAATGCAATAAAAGTGCAGTTTTTTTGGATGAACGCTAAGCGCACACACCAGGCAATAAACCAACAAAATTTGCTGCCCTGAAGGATTGAAGTGCAGCACAGGTGGGAGGTCTGGGAACTCGTAGCTGTTCCCCATAGAAAGGCAGAATAGGCAGAGCTATTGAAAATTCAGTTACTGAAGCAGTTTGCCACGAATATTGGATCAGAACTGAAAATTTCTGGATATGACGCTTCCCCAAATCGGAAATCGGAAGGCGGAAGTTAAAGTAGTAGGTCTCTTTCTGGTGGGACCTCTAACTTTTTGTGAAGCTGGAGGTGAAGCAGTTCGGTCACAGGAATTCACACATCTTCATAATCCTGCACGAGCTTCACTGAAACAATCTGCCCCCCCCCCTGATCCGAACTGCGCCGATCGAGTCTCACATGCCGCATGGTTTTGCCTGATCCTATAGGATGCGCCATGCTCTCAATTGAGCATAAGAAGCCATTGTAATAACCCCTTGTGGGACCTTGAAAACTGGACCTATTTCTGAGCGCAACAACAATTACCGTTCTATAGCAAGTGCAGAACTGATCAGATCGACGATGACAGGATTATCGATAGTTTTATCGGACGACAGTCAGCAACTATTCTACGGTAGCACTTTGATTGAGCACGGGAGCTGAATGTACACTTTCCTTGGCCCGTCATGACGTCGAACTCGCCCATGTGAACCTTGCCCATTGCGCAGGATTAAGCGGTCCCTGAATGGTCGTCGGCCAAACAAACATACTCTCTGGCATACCCTTTTGATTTCTCACGTTGTCGGAAGGGCCTGCTCTTCGGAACCCACAGAGAACCACTGAAAGTGTAGACATTCAGGGGGTGGAGGGGGAAAGGGGACGCTGGACTACCTTTTCATCCTGAAGAAAGTCTTCTTCGTGGTCTCGGAAGGAATTACGCCCACGGAGTTGGTTCGAATTCATCTCAAAGGCTTTGCACTGAATGGCTCGGGGTTTCCAAGCAAAGGTTTCGTGCAGGGTTTTCGCAGCGCATTATAGACGTCATTGATGTCGTCGCAGGGCTTAGTAAATGAACCAAAGCATTGAGGATGTGTTGCTTGGCAGGCATATGCCCACCTTGAAGTGCATAAAGCATCTAAGGGAAAATTTAGAACGCAAGGGATGAGGTATTCGGCTTCGGCCGGTTCTTTTTTGGTAAGCGCCAGGCATCCTTCTTCACTCACAGTCACAATGGCATTTTAGAGGCGAAACGGACTGTGCAGTGCCTATTGGCGGTTTTATGCAACTCCTTGATGAGTTTGGTAAGATGCAAACCTGTACAGACGGTACGGGCTTGACTGGCCCCCTAACGGAAATCCTGTAGCGAAGTTGGCCGGAGCTCCTCGGAGTCCGACGCGTTGTATGCTTACACGCTCAAACGGCGTTGGCCGATTGGCGAGGGGGGGGGGGTCATTTTGTACTTCTGGCTGCTCCACTTAGTTCCTGGCCCCAGACTTCTTAGAACGCTGTCTTTGTGAAGCTGGTCAATCCGTCCAAGCAGCCGTGAATAAAACCTTTTCCATTTTGCGCAAAGCTCACAAAGTAACTCTCTAGCACGGTCTCCGACATATGCGATGGGCCAGTAATCAAAAGTGTGAATGCCCCTTGTCGGCCGAACTTGGCGGCATATATTAGGTTGTCCGGAAAGTTCTTAGCGTTTTGTGCACCTAATCTTTGTACATTCACTGCTGATTAAAAACTCATTCTGCCTTGCTTCTCAGTAGCACATCCTGTAGAGAATTTCTTGCGCTATCTGATGGTATAATTGCCGTTTCACCATTGCTTGATAAACCCCTTTTTTCAAGATTTTTTCAAGCATGTGAAAAGAGCACTTCGGACGATTTTTTCTTCGGCTATAAATTGGGGCAATCCGCAATCGAAACAGCTCAACAAATTAACCAGGTGTGGGGGCCCAATAGTGCTAGAGAAAGCACTGTGCGGCAATGGCTCAACAAATGTCGTTCTGGAAATTTCAGCCTTGAAGGTGAGCCTCATAGCGGTCGACCTAAAGCAATATCTGACGAGGATTTTAGGGGGATTTTGAAGGTTGACCCATCCCAAACAGTTCGAGAGATAGCAGAAGAGCTAGGCCTTGGCAAATCCACTGTTGCAGATGGTCTGGAACGCATTGGGAAGGTGAAAAAACTCGACAATTGGGTGCCCCACAATCGGAGTGACCGGCAGGAATCGGCACGTCTCGAGGTTCCTTCTTCACTGCTTTTGCGCAAAAGAATTGACCCGTTTTTGAACGGATTTGTCACCTGTGATGAAAAATGGATCATGTATGATAACAGGAGACGTTCCGGACAGTGGTTGGATTTGGAGGAACCACCGAGGTAATTTTCAAAGCCGAACCCTCGCGAAAAAAAATTCTGGTCAGGTTTGGTGGTCATCGGCTGTTGTAATCCACTATAACTTTTCATCACCAGGCCAAACCATCACAGCAGAACCCTACTGTGAACAAACCGACCAAATGTACCGAAAATATTGTCAGCTGCAGCCAACACTTATCAAAAGAAAGGGTCCGATTCTTTTGCATGACAACGCCCGCCCACACGTTTCACAAATCACTATCCATAAATTGAACGAATTGGGAGTTGAAGTTCTACCTCACCCACCATATTCTCTAGACCTTTCACCAACCGACTGTCACCTTTTCAGACATTTTCAGAACTTTCCTGCTGAGAAATACTTCATCAAACAGGACCAGGCAAAAAAGACCTTCGCAGATTTCGTGGATTCTCGACCACCCAGTTTTTTCTTTGATGGGATTTCTCGACTGCTGTCACATTGGCAAAAGTGTGCTGATTCGAATGGTGCTTATTTGGATTAAATCCGATGAGTGTTAAGAAAGTTATGATCGTTTAAAGTTAAACACCCAAAACGCTAAGAACTTTCCGGACAACCTAATACTTCACGTAAGCTCGCGTAACTCTACGAACTCATTGTGCTTCCCATTCTGGTCATCTGGCCAAGTTTATCCTTACTTGGAAATCCTGCTGAGAGGTGTGAAGATTGGTACACGAGTCATCCACGAGTCAATTCAACTTCTCATGGTAACTGGGTGAGGAATGGTGAATCGCATCACGTCTACCGAGCCAAGGTTACCATTACGATCCGCGTCTAGAACACCAGGAAACATCAACCGTTGTGGAATTCACAACGGGGAGGGGGCATATTCGGTCGCTCAGGCAGGATTCGTACTTCATCTCGCATTTCTTTTTCAATTTGTAATTCTCTGACGGTTAATTTCTCCCGTTTCCACACCCGCTTTCAGTTGGCGGAAAAGAGTCAGATATGCAAAATCACTGTGACCACTTCTTGATGGTTGATTGGGGAGGGGCGCTATCCTCGCCCGATGCTAGTTTTTGGTGGGAAGACTGGTAGAGTTCCCGGAAAATCGGTGGAGGAAGTTGATGAGGTAGCAGGTAGTTTGCGAGACAAGGTCGTAGTAGTAGAGGAGGAGGGGAGTGGTGGTACTGACATCCCCTCCATTCATTATTCTTGAGATGGGAGAAAAAGGGTTGTACCAAAAGAGAAACTTGGAAAAAACTCCCACAAATACGATAGTATGCTTCTCTAGTGCCCGGGCCGTTGGTGTATAAAGCCCGGGGCAGAGGTCATTTCTCATTTCAGATCCCATTTTGCCAGCAAATAGCCTCAACCTTTGGTCTATCCGTTATATGCTTCCGCATCTTTGACCGCTCAACGACAAAGATCGAAACTTCGGAATCTCAGTGATTTGCGATAGTCGAAGACTTCAAACGTTCGCCGATCACGATTAAACGATAAATTACCTTTGGCCGGAGATATCTAGTCCCCGCTATGTGACGTTCAAGCCAGGGATGGAAAACAGAGCCAAACAGGGGGTTCAAGGACCAGGAAATGTGGGCAGATTCAATCCTGGAGAAGAAAGAAGCTAGCCCTCTCCTAATTCTATTCAGTCGCTCTCTATCTTTCGCCTTCCGTTCACATTATTCTTATAAAACAGTCAAGTACTGGCATCGTTGGTGAGATCTCAGGGGGTGTCGCACGTAGTCACTGGAAGAAGTGATATTTAGCCGGTGCCCCCTCCCCCTCCCCTTGCTACCGTCGTCGCGGAACTGCACACAATCCTTCTTCTTTCTGGCAGTCGACTTTGATAGTTGATTGGTGATGATCTCCTACCCGCCACTCAACGAGAGTGTCTTGGGGAAAGGGTTGGGAACTGGGAGCATTTGGGAAGATAGTAGCCAGGATTGAGAAGGAGCATCGTGCTGAAACCGTCATATCAACTCTTGTGAAGCTGGAGCAAGGTCGTCAAGCCATCATGTTAAAAGGTGTCAACTCGAGAAGAAGGCTGTTTAGCAGGTCGACATGGTCGCATGGCGAAAGTTTAGCAAAAAGTGCGATAATGCCCTCTTTTCCCCCTCCCCGTCGCCGAAACTGTTCCCCTTTTTGCATTTTCCGAGGCTGTGTTCTTTGCTTCTGAAGGGTCCAAATCAAGAAGCGTCTGCAAAAAGGAGGACTCAACGCTCTCGGCGGGACGTCTCCTACCTTGGTTGAGCATCAAGTGATATCAAGAGTGAGCCACAGTCCCCATGACTGCTAATCAGATGGGACTCTCCGCTACTGTTTTCACAAGCGCCACTGTCGGGGTCTAAAGTCTCCCTATCCCTCCATACGCCCCTCAGGCCCTTGAAATTCAACTCAGGCTTCTGCTCTTTCCTTGAACACGGCCAGGTCATAACAGCAAGTAAATCCTGCCATACAACAGAGAATTTTCCAAGTTGCCCTTTGCTGATCTTCTTGGGGCAAGATTCCACTACGATTAGGAAGACAATTGGCGAATCTTCCCGCGAAAGATTCGGTGCTTCCACTTCACCTCAAAAAACAAGGGTGACCTCGGGAGTTTTTCGGAACTCACCGCTGTCGTTCAGCATCTGTCAATACCCGATACTCCTTTCGAAGGCCTCTTGTAAGACGTTGTCCATTTGGCAATACGCAGTTTGCGCCACCACTACCTGAACGTATGGATTATCACTTTTCCGCTGGGATCTTGAAGGCAAACATTTCTTAACGACTACACTGCGAGGGGCGTTGCTTGCCAGTATTTGACTGGTACTATGGGCAGTAAGAGGGCGTTTAGTCACAACACCATAACGCTCAGGGCAATTTGGCCAACGCTTCCATCAATGACACTGGCAACAACCGCTCGCCTCCAGCAATCGTGCCCACTGCCCTCGAAGCAGCAGAAGTTAGATGTAGGCAAGGCAGACCCACCTCAAAACTTCGCAATTCGACTCGCCCAGCTCACAGCCCAGCGCTTGAACGAACCTCCGAAAAATCCGCAAAGACATGCAATATCTAAGCATTCGTATTGCGTCTCTTGCCGTTTCAGAGGTGGCCAGAAGTGTTGCAGTCGGACCAGCAGCTCCACCAGCACCAGGTGATCGAACAGTACTGGGAGACACGGCTGGCACAGTCTAAAAAAATTACTTCGGCCAAATTCTCACCTACGTAACAACATTGCTTTCTATTTCCTCTTTGTGAGTTGAAGGCGCTTGGGCACTTTCCCACTACAATATATACCATTTTCACTTCAAATTCACGACTTTCTAAACCGAACTCACGACTTTTCAAAACAGATCCGAGACTCAGTTACCCATGCCTTACGGGACACTACTGCAAGCCCCGCCCCTATAGCCACGCCCACATCTCAGCGTGGTCGTCGTAATTTTTCAAAGTTTATTTTGGACACCATTCTGCCTATGTTCTGATTTTCTTTTGCGCATTTCGCTTACTCGCGAATTCACAGTATCTGTGATAAGGACTGCCACATGGGAAACCATGCGGCAACATCCGCTCCTCTCTGAACTATTTGTTGCAAAATTCGCACAGCGAAGATATTCGCAGACGCGCATTTATGCACTGGCAATTTAGGCTCCGCCCCTTGACCACGCCCACTTTGCGGTTTTTTTTGCAATATTTTAATCTTTTCTAAAGTATTTGAATTTTTAACTGCCCTACGTTGAGGCCACGCCCACTGTGAGAAACTCCGTCCTTTTCAAAGGAGCCCCGCCCGCTTCCCAAAGATGGTAGAAATCGGCATTCTTGTGGTAACTTTCGGATCGCGCACTGCGGCGTTAAACAGCAGCTATCAAACGATAACGGCAGTATAGAGTTTCAGCCTGCATGCTAGGATATTGCTGGTCAATCACTTTGTGAGCTGAAGGCGCTGTGCACTTTCCCACTACAATATATAAAATTATAACCCGAAGGAATATTTCGCGCTGGTGGGGCGGAGATAGTCGACTGTTGTGCTTTTCTCGCTGGCGTTCATCCTCCTTATACATTGAGCGGGAAGGACTCGGTTTCAGCGTGGGGTGTCTCCGCCCTTACCATCACCTTCGAGCTATAAC